ATTTATATTGTATACTGTGTGCTTGGACTTATCAAGATTACTATTGCATGTAGATGGAGGGCCGTCTCTTGAACAAAAAATTTAAATAAAAAGAAAAACCAATTCAAAAAAAACATAAAATAAAGAAGCAAAATATAAAAAAAAAAAAACAACCCCAAAAACACGTAACGGTTGGAGACATATTGCTGAGTCCCAAAGAGAACAACCACAAATATATCTCTTCAGGTGAAGAGAACCAAATCAATGATAAGATTTTCTCGGCCAGGAACGCAGAGGATCGCGTACGGCATCTTGCATATTGAAGTTAGCCGTCTATGACCGTGGCCTTAATAATATGAAAAAAACCAATGGCATTAACCATGTCGTACAGCGAGGCTCCGCAGATATATCTGTTGAAGTATAGGAATTGGAGCGAGCACTTGTTTAATTTGGGCATTGGCGCTCACAGTTTCAGGAGTGAAACGGAAATTGTGTCTGTTTGAGCACTCTCTATTGAAGTGGGTCGTAGTCAGGGGCAACAGTAGAGAAGAGCAAAAATAGCCCAGACTAGACCACGTCTATAATAGCGGGTCACACTTAAGCATTCGGAAGGAGCTCTCAGCGTTTTGCTTGGTTTGATGCCCTCGTTTCGCCATACTGTTCGAAATGTCCTTCTGAAGGTTATGGGCCACAGCATTCGCGCTATTCCAAGCATGCGCCAACGACTTGGTGAGACCGCCGAGGATATCGAGACTCCGGATACTCCACTTTAAATACCCTTTCTGGCGTTAGGAGGCCAGTGCCTTACATTAGGCCACTGGGGCTTCACAGCTCACAGGATCACCAGTTCTGTGCACATGCAGTGAGTTCCACTGTTATGCCACACTATGGGAAGCACAATGTGTGGTTTTGCATAGTATAACAATGGCCCCTGATGCTGCTGTAGCTTTAACAAAGACAAAACATTAAAGATAAGCACAATGAGGGCACAGTTAAGCCCTGGCAGGATAGAGAACCACAGACAGAAACTGTGACAAAGTGCCAAAATGTGTCAAGAAGAAAAGGGAAAACTTAACACTGTATCACTCTTTGAACAGGCATAATTTGCAACCAAGTGTGAAGGAGAAGCTATTGTGTCCGTGGAACTCACACACACAAATGGCCCTAACTAGAGCCAGTATTTGGTTTCTCTTTCCTGGGCTACTGTAGAAACATGGCAGTTCAACATGGCAGACTACGCCATAAGGACCCGCTCCCTCTATAGATGAAAATGCCTCCTTCTAAGGTAATAATAGTAAGGTGATAATACACTCATGAAATTATAGTCACAAATATTATGTTCCATTTCTACCAGTACATCCTCCTTAATGTTACACACTGGACCTTTAAAAAGATACAAAGAATGGACCATTAAAACCATTGCTCCATAGTGCTGGTAGCAGTCAAAAACTCCACAGGGTACCTTTAAACATGGAACCATAAACACTACAAACAAAACAGGAAAAATGGCTCCCTGCCTGCAAATAAATCCTTTCAGTATTCAAAAATTTAGAATTTTATCACACCTGCATATTCCTGCGGCCTCATTGGTCGATTGATGACCCTCTGGAAGGCAGCTATCCAATCCCGTTGCTCGGCCTCGGTCTCACAGGCAAACAGGAACTTCCTGTCCGGCGTGACGATGGTGATGCCGTGGTTCCAGTGGTAGCCCTGCGTGGACGGGGGCAAGCCGGACAGGACCGTGTAGCTGTTCTCCTTACTGCCTATGAACACCTCACCACGGGCATAGGCATCCTGGGAGACAGAAAGAGAGCGCGGATCAGTCAGATCAGTCAAAACAAAAGAAGAGGTCATACGGGTGCAAGTCTCTTCTTACCAGAGGGTCTTTGAAGTACATGAGTCTCCTGTCATCCATCGTAAACCACCTCTTCTTGAAGCCCTCTGTGTGCTGTGGCAGAGCAAGACAGATCGTGAAGAGAAAACGAAAGGGAGTCATTGCAAAGAGTATAAGCTATCATAAGAGGTCTAGACCTAGAGGTGTAGACATATACTGCACTAACTATAGCATCTAGTATACTGTATAGCACAGCAAACTGGGGATCAGTCACAAGATGAAAGATGAAAAAACAATGGTTCTGATATACAAAATTATATGTTGCTTTGGCCTAATCCCTAGTCTATTACTTCTTGTATCATATTAGATTTAGGCCACAGCTACTCAAGTGAATGTATCTAAACTCAGATTTCTGGGGTACTGCAAGTAGACAGAGCTTCATTTTAGTTGTTCATAAGGGAAAACAAGTTGGAAAGCATTCTTCTATACTTGACCTGTGGACACTTTTGCCAAATTAGGGCAGATGTAACTGTGAAACTGAGGCTTAATAATAATATTATTTCTGATTTCACTTTAGACAGGTGGTAGGATCCAGTTAGTATAACCACAGCACAAACCTTTGGACCCGTTTTCTCCATAAAGCCTTCCTTCATGAAGTTTCGGGTCAGTTTGGGCACCAGCTGGAGAAGAGAAGTAGAAGTAGTAGAGAAGAAACATAAAACATAACTGTCACATACTGTAAGATGGATGGAATTTTGTGAGAAAAAGATTTCTCAAAGTCATCCATCTCACAGCAGATGAATAATTTGTAAAATCAGCACTGAAAAATACATAATTCCTCCATTCTTGGTTTAGGAATGCATCGTGATCAGACAGCTTCGCCTTCCTGACAACAAGCACCATAACAGTGGGTTGTGAGATTAAATCATTCTCCCTCACCTCCTCGTCACTCGCTCCGGGGAAGGCCACCTGTAGGTAGTGGAACCTGGCCGCTCTGATAGCATTGAACCAGTCGACCATCTCCTGTAAAAAAAAAACAAAAAAAAAACAACCCTCAGTGGCAACATGTCCTGCTGGAATTCACACAGTACCTATTCCCAGTATGTATTTTAGTTCCGTAGTGAATATTGTGGTGTTTTTAGTTTCTCTGATGCCCCTGAAGGCATCCTTTCCACACAGTAAGGTGTAGTCAAAGGCAATCTGTGCTGTGTGGTTGCTGCAGTGCTGTCGATAACTCCACCACAGAACAAGAGTGACAGTGACACTGACTGAACCCAATGAACCCGCTCTGTCACAGCCGTCAGTAACACAGCTCAGCCAGCAGAGGGAGCAGTGCTACTTATGTGTTAGGCTCCACTTACTTCCCTGAACTTCTTCCTTTCTTTCTCTCTCTCACACATACATAGAGGTTCAAAATCAGAATGGTGATTGTTTAAATGGGTAATGGGGCTAACTTTTAGTTTTTACAAGTCCCAAAGCAGTCCTAGACACAAAACCTTTTTTTTTTTCTTTGGAAGGTTCTTGGGATGGACTTTGTAGGAAATGTACAAACAGTTAGTCTTTGAGTCACAGCAAATCAGCTGAACATGCACAATGTAAACTGTGACTATAGGCAAGTATACAATTCAGCGAATAAAGTCAGTTTTTCCTGTCAAGAGGATTTAGGCACTTTTATCAGGAAATTCTCTGGAAATTTAAAGCTAACTATGCAACTACTATATTAATGCCTTGTTCTTTCTTACACACCAAAATAAATAAGTGGGTACTTAGTGCTTTGGCTAAGAACATCTGTCTACTTTTCAATCATTAGTACCAAATTACATAGGTCTTTCCAGGAAGCTTCCTTCCTAGGAAATTATATAGAAATTACGGGACCCATAAAATGAAGTGTTACCATAGCATTTAGAGATATTTTCCTAAAGGGTTGCTGTTGACCCTAAAAACTAAACATAAAATACCACTGCTTTACTGTTAAACGGAAAAACAAAGAATAATAGATGCATTTATCTGAATTTCAGTCAACCAACACATGTGGAATGGACTCATATGTGAATGTAGAATAAGTAGACATTTGGCGTCAAGGGCTCTGACCTCATCACCCCCCACAAGGAAGCACCACACTCAGCACAGCAGGGAGTGGGGAGTGATGATAACTCCCCTCCTCCCCCAGGGGGAAGACATTCTCAGACCCTCCAGGTGGATGATGAGGTGTATGAACGGCAGCAGTGAAAGACATGCAGTACCTAGCTTACAGGAATATATGCATCATTAGAATGGACAGAACCATTCAGAACCAGAGTCCAATCTAACAAATCCTCTTTGTAATGCAACCTGGACTAAATTCAAAGCCATTTAAGAAAACAAAGCTAAAATAAAACTTATTTCACATTAGACCTGCATTGCAGTGTGTATGTGGTAAGATGACATTCTCTACAGTGCTGGCTTTGATCTTTGAAATGAAACAATGTGTATGAGGTTAAAGTGCTGACTTTCAGCTTTAAGGCTATTTACATCCATAGTGATTGTACACTGTAGCAATCGCAGCCCTTTTTTTCCCATAGTACCCCTGTTTTTGAACAGTAATACAATTGCTACTCTTTTTGCTGAATATGGATGTAGACACCTTACAGCTAAAAGTCAGCACTTTAACCTCATTAGCCGCATTTCCGCCGCATGGTACGGCCTGACTCGCTCTTATTTGGTTTTCTATTATGGGTAGTACTCGGTACCTGGTGCTTATTTTGATACCACCTCGGTTGAGGTTCAAACCGAGCTGCGCTGACATTAAGAAGTGACACTGATTAGTCATAGGTCAATCGTCATCAACACATGAACAGTAATGGGAAAAGCCAATAAGAAATGAATTATTAGAGGATATTTCCATTTCCATTTTGGTAAAGCAGACAGCATTCATATTATTCTGGTAACCCTGTATTAGTGCCCTGTATTACTGTAAGTCTTGACATATAACTAGCATGTTGCTGCACTGTACATGTGTACAGTGAAAGTGCTTGACAGTGTACCTTTGCGTCACTGTGGTAGACAAAGATGTTCCTTGTGCTGTTGTCTTTCAGGTAGGTGATCTGTAGGCCACAGGGGTTGCCAATCTTGGCCGGCTGGAAGGTGGCATTGAGGGTCTCGATTTTCATCACCGCTTTGGGATCCCTGGCCTTGGTGGAGGGAGACATGAACCACAAACAGGACACAGTCATATCCCACAGTCGACTGTAAACACTTTTAAAATCAGCTGCATCATCTCGCTTACATCCTGCTTGTTGAAGTACTTCAGCGCTCCCTCCCTCTCCGACAGGATGAACTTTCGGCTGAGAAACTGACCGTTGTCTCTTCCTCGTTTCCATAGAAACCCCTCTCTGTACCCTGGGCAGAGAGAGAGAGAAAAAAAAAGTGTGTGTGGTTGGGAGGTTGGTATCAAAAACCCATCAGAGCAGATGAGAGATTAAAACGGAGGAGGCATTTGTAACAGTAATGGTGAGATGTTGTAACTGGTTGGTGTAAAATGATACTTCAGTTAAGTCGGAATCAAAGATCGTTTGAAATCTCATTTAGAAAAGGAGGGAGGAAAAGGAGACGGAGAGAGAGAGAAAACAAGACGACAACAGACAAGAGAGGAAGAGGGTTTAGCATGAAATACAGCATGAGACAGCACACACATAGATTTTTTTTCTCTACATCCTTTTCCATGTTAATGATAAGCTGTTCTATTTATAGCCTGCAGTGTCTTCTTCTTCAGTCTATTTTGGTGAAAAGCTCTGCCTACACTGCCTCCTTTTCTCTGTTTTCTCTACTATTTCGGTCACGCTGTGAAGTGTTTTCTTTCTAGTCTGGATCTATTTTTGTGGCTTAGTGGGAGAAGGAAGTCTAAGCATAATCAGGTGGCGTTCCAAAGAAGGGACTCATTTGCATTTCAGCCATTTGACTGATGATGTTATCCAGAATCAACTTACAAATTACATGGGATTGAAGAGAACTTAATTTGCCCTGAATGATAAAATATAAAAGTACACACTAAAATCAATTAAATAATAAAAAAAGACAGATTTCTCAAGTGTATGAAACAGGAAGAAATTAATTAATGGAAATTACACTAATGAGAGCAGCGAGAATGAATCAAAACAGTAAAGTTGTGAGCCCTAAAACCAAAACACTGAGCTAAAAGACACTAAAATGCTCCATAGAGTTAAGGGAAACTGTAGGCTTAAGTGATCTTAAGTTTGCAATTTAGGGCTGTTACCTTATATTTGAAATTCGAGAAATAGTTTAAACGTAAGGTCAACAGACATGATTTTGACATGTGGCATGCCCTATTGACCTCTCAGTAAACTAAGCTAGTAATGTTATGTTGTTTACTACAAAAATGGAGGACACAAGAGACAAAAGCATGAAGCAAATCCGTCCTGAACTGACAATTGTGAGAGAAGCGGTGTGCTTCTGTCGACTTTGTACAAAGCGGCTGTCCAACTCTACAATGACATCAAAACTGCGGACCCACTTGCTAACATTAGCGGAGCAACGTCAAGTTTGTACAACCTTGTCTGACTGCTACTATTCGGCACACTCAGCTGGCCTCTTGCCAGATACTCGTAAAAGCACCATCACCGATAAGATAGCAAGATTTACATGCTGCAAGGGCTAATGTCTTTGTGCCTTTAGGATAGTCTTTAAGTTCCTGTGTGGTGTCATACAGTTGTACTATGTGTTATTATTCCAACAAATTATTGATTGTATTGGGCGAGTCTGTCATTATGAGTGACCCCTTCGACATTACATGCAGTCATTTGAACCATTGGTAATATAAAATAAGTGTAGCTTTAAAGTAAAATTATCTTTGCTCAGTACTCGTCGGCACAATGTGAGTTGGTACTGGTGGATTTTCACCACAGGACTGATGGTCAATGGTAAAAAAAAAGCCAAAATCTCACATATAGTAGGAAAAGAATATTCTTGGTATCATCATTTGATCCTTCACAGACCTCATATTCATGTTCGCACACAATTTCTTCACTCTACTGCTCTCTTTCTCATTCTCCTTATTCAATGCCCTCCGCCATTGATTACTCTCCTCTGTCTTCTTGTCCTCTGCACTCACTCCACTCCGTGTGTGTATGTCTTTGTGGCTGTGACTTTCTGACGTGAAACATTCACCTACACTGGCATTACCTCATCGATCAATAGCCCTCCTTGTCCCCACCCTCGCCTCCTTCCCAGACACTCTTTTTCTTCCTCCTAGCCTTTGCATACTGGATCAATATTAACATTGGCCGCTGTGGAGGCCAGGTTACTGCCAGTAGTCAATTTCAGCCGCCCACTCTCACACCCACACATACACACCCGCAGATGTCACGCACCTCACACTGAGTGATGAAGTGGGCATGAATGCACAAATAGAGATGACAGAATGACTCATATCATTACACTGTGCGTGTGTGTGTGTGTGTGTGTGTGTGTGTGTGTGTGTGTGCACGATTCTCCACTGTAACAATAAACAGATGAGGTCACTGCAAGCCAATCAGGAAGCTCAATCTCCAACAAGACATGAAATGTATATGAGTAGACATGCACCTAACACACAAATACTGTACCCTCATCTGCCACACACAACCAACCCAAACACACACACACCGTTTTAATGGCAGCTCTATTCTCCAGCGGTGACAATTACAGTGTCACTGCTTGAATGTAGCAACGGCGCTTTAAACGGCAAACGCAACCACTTAGGGGAAGAAGGATAAAGGAGAATGTTTGAAAGTCGGCGATGGATGTTTCAGGATAATTGAATTCCAGCTACTGGCATCCACTGGGAGACGTTTGTCCGAGGAGTTTTCAAGGTTTTGCTTATCGAAGGGTAAACAACTCAAGATTGACATGACAATAGACCAGCCATTTATGAATTTTCTTCATATGGAAGAACTCTGCATATCAGTGTACTTCTGCATGCGTGTGTCTTCTTCGTGTCCTTCTAACTGGGCAATTGCATCTGATGCTACAAGAAAATCGGTAAAAAACAATTCATTATTTCACCAATTGCAGCTTGCAACATTTGGAGGCAATTGGCCATAATAATGTAGCAACATGGCAACTCCCCAGTTGTCCACGCAATGGTGAAATAGTTTTTTAGTAATAAGGCTATATGATAAGATGAGAAAAGGATAAGTGAGCATATTCTGTTATTTGCGGTTGGCTTTGACTTAACTGTTGCAGAGGTGTCTTTAAGGCTTTCTCTGAATGCTGAGCACGAACATGATATTTTGGCATATTTGGGAAATAGGTAGCAATCTTCTTTCTGTCAGATTTTTCATTTTCAGTCAGAAGGTGTACTAATGAGGAAAATCAGCTTCAGCTTGAAAATAAATCGCCTTGGATGAGTCTGTATGCACCTACCTGCAGAGTAAGGCTCCTGCTTCTCGATAAACTCAAACTCATTCCTCTCGTACTTGGCTCTGATCCACTGCTCTCTCAGCAGCCTGGAGACAACACACAGAAAAACACACACAGTTCAGTTAACTTTCACATCAGTAACACACTCACTAACTGCCCTGATACACACACACACACACAGACACACACACACACACACACACACTCACATTATTACTTTTACTGTAACATAGAAATAATAGGCGAGTGTCAAATCAATACACATTGATATTCTGACGCACAGTAAGAACCCTATGTCATGATACGGTCTATGTTCGATATGTGAGGAGCCACCATGTATGAGTGAGTTTGGCTTGTAACATTATCATCTCTTCCTCTTTGAGTATTACATAGGAAATACTAGGAAATATCAAATTTCTCTGTGCCAGCGTCTATCTTTTTGTTGCCTTTGATCGAACATGGGGATGTGTCCCTACAGGCATCTGCGACATGAAGTATTTCAAACTCAAATAGACACATTAAGACTTGCATTTCTAGTCAGATATGAATACAAAGTACTTCGAGCTGTCAGTGTATCATATACATTTATACCATTTGTAGAAGTAAATTGCACACTGGTCATCAACTGCTGGTAGTCTACATTAACAAAACATTTTAATTCTATTTTTGCTGTTACTATGTGAGGATTAAATCGCCCTTAATTGTGTATACATATTAGCATTTCTTGATATTGATACTTATTAGATTATCTACAGTATTTCAAGAAATAGTTTGAGATTTTGGGCCATTTTCACTTTCTTCCCAGAGAGTTAGATGAGAAGATCAATAACCCCTAACTTATCTTAACGGTCCACTAAATATTAGGCTCTGCAAGCAGCGTAAAGACTGGAAACAGGGAGAAACAGCTAGCACAGCTCTGAAAGCATCTTCCTGGAGTCTTGTCACCGTCAGGTTGCCAGGCAACCCACAGAGAGTCCATGAAGTTACTGCTCCTGACCAAGGTTTATTTGGGCCCCCCTTAAAACCACACACACATCATTTTTAGCGGCACTTTGTTTTTCATGTGGATTAAACAAACAAAATGCTAATTAGTTAGTTTTAGCTCTGCTGCTGAAGGTTTTGTTTTTTTACGTTGAACGGTGGCAGGCTAGCTGAGTAGGCTGTTTCCAGTCTGTAGGCTAAACTGAGCCAACCGGGTGCTGGCTCTAGCTTCATGTTTCACACACAGAGATATGAGAGTATTAATCTTCTCATCTATCTCTCAGCATGAAAGCAAAAAAAGTGCATTTGCCAAAACTTTTTTTTTCATTTTAATTTGTCCCCAGTTGTTACATTAGGTTTCTTACCTAACCCTGATTAAACTGAATAATAGAACGACCCTTGAGCAAACACAGACTCATGCATCCTAACATTAACGCATTAAACATGATCACTGCCTTTGTTGCCAGTTTCTACCAAAACTGCATATAAAGGCGGTCGGAAGCTTCTTCCTCTCCAGTGTGAGGAGAAACAAATGGCACCATCTAGCACATCACCATGCCAACAATCTCTCTCATACCGTTTCCTTCCCTACCTCTCTCAACCATTCAGTCCCCCCTTCATGCTCCAAACTGCTTTCATCCTCTCCTTCCGTACACATTTCTCCCTTTATTTGCCCCTTTTCTCTCTTTAGTTAAAAAAAACAGCCGTTCTCAGCTTCAAGGAGCAAAATGTCTTACTCATACTCGCAGATATTTCTTTGAATGACACCTTCTAGTGACACGGGATCTTAAACACTAAACCCTGTGGCTCTCAGGGGACTAGAGTGAGTGAACACAAACAGGCACCATGGCACAGACACTGAGAAAGACACTTCTCTCTCATCTAGGCTTTCTCTCACTACCTTTTTTGGTTTGGTCTCTGTCTATTTTAATAAAATTGTGTTCTCTGGAGGAGACAGACACAGAAAGATGGGTGGACAAGCCTAAAATAAATGTCTCTACTTTGCTGTGTCCTCTAGATAAAATAAAAATGTATGCTTACAGAGCTTTAATGTTTTTAAATTAATTAAAAAAGTTAAAGTTTAATCAAACCACTGTGACTCAATAGTTTAAAATAACATGAAATAATCCATGGGGGTGTGTGGATGCTTTTTATAAGCCCTTTACACACAAAGAGGAAGAGGAAGTGATATTTAAGTGATATACACAGTGAGAGCTGTGAAACAGAACACTATGTATTCATTTACAGTAACAAAGTCCCACTGCATAGCATGGTGTAGCACTTTTGCACTTATTTGGATGTACGTGCCACTGCATTCAGCATTTTCTGATCACACTCAGTTGCAGGTAGTTCAACATGGGCCAATATATATACATACAAATAAGAAATAGGACTTTAAAGCTGCACTAATCAATATTTTATATTAATAAAAAATTAAAATTACTATGTGTAACATGAAAGGTGTTGCTCTTAGTAATGTACCCAGAGATAATTAGCACCCAACACTGCAGTTTCCCACAGCTCTAGAGTGTTTTATCATCTTTCAGCTTATAGTTTTGGTTTTATGGCCCACAGCTTTGCTGTATTGGTTTCCAGAAGCAGAATGAAACGTACTGCACGTTACCTGTCCAGCACCAAATAGAAGACAGGATATAGTGGAGCATTTAGCAACGTAATTAAAAATACCAAGGTACATTTTAGCAAGAAACATCCCACTGCTCAGCTTCATATTCTGTGACATTCCATGCTAACGACGGTTGGCAGCTAAAGACGACATTGTTGAGAAAACTGAAAACACAATCTGCAGAATTTACTTTAGACATTTTTTGCAACTGCATTGGCAAAGTGTTTTGAATTCAGCCTCTTCTCCCCCAGTGGCCAAGGCCTGTGGGTATTGTAGTATTTTTTACCTGTCCGCCATGCTTAAATTATGAACAAAACTTGATTTCTCAGAAATCAAGTTTAAATAATTCATACTGGTGGTGTCATGATCCGCTCCTGGCTT